AGATTGAGAAGTCCAACCTGGACACTTCTAAGGCGAGAGATCCATAAAATACACAGTTGACAAAAATACCCATCCTTATTTAAGGTGGTTACTATGTGAAACATCACTTTTTAGAAAACGACATCGCTTTCCCAGAAAATTGCATCACACTCAAACGATTCACTCAAAAAATTACTTCCTGATTCAAAATTTTGAAGTATAAATCTAGCATCAAATCCACACAAAAATGATTTTACATAGAGAGAACCATTACCAAATCGTCTGTTCTTTGACAATTGTTGAAGCAAAAATTGTGGATTTTCAACTCGAATCGTGTACAACTTCAATCAATTGCTCTTCCATCATTCTTGAACAAAGATCTTTATCACAATGAATCATTCTCAAATATAAGATTTCAAGTAAGTGGTTTTCAATTTCTTCGTGTTGTTTTCTTCGCTAGGTTTCAAATAAAATTAATTTTTTTTTTATGATCCACAAACACAACACAAAGAGGTTTAGTCACCAACATAATTCACCTAAATAACACAAAAATAACCTCTAACATTTTTCACTAACATTCGCCTAAATAACACAAAATATTTACAATTTCAAAGTTTTATGTTGAAAATATTGTTATAGTTCAGTGAATGTAGAAACCAATTGCATATTGAATTTGTAACCCTAACATTTTTCAATGTAATGTAACTAATATAATGTCCATTTAATGGTATATGTAACCCTAACACGAAGTGCATATTGTTTATTGTAGTAGAAATTAGTTGTGTTCCTAATTCACTGTCTAAATATCTTTAAAACTTTGATTGTTTGATTAACTAATATTAAAATGATTACTTATCAACAAATGCCTTCAATTTTTATTTTGAACCCACATTAGAAGATTGTTAACATATGATTCGCTGTTATCAAATTTTGAGATCACAGTTGAAGATTGTTTACATATGGCTTATTGTCTGCATATAATCAAAAAATCAAATTGCCTTTCTCTATGAATGCAATTTCTAGTTCACTGCCTTATTTAGAAATCACATTTGAAGATTGATTACATATGGTTCACTGTCTGGATTTAATCAAAAAATTTAAAAGTCTTATTTTATGAGTAATATATTTCTGGTTCACTGTCTTATTTAATATGTTAGCACATGCATAAATAGGCAGGAAGCAAGTTGTCAAAACAAAACCTTCGTAAAGCAACACAAGAAAGAATGAAGGCCACCACAACTAAATCCATCAAAGAAATCCAAAAGCCCGAAAACAAGAAGAAAATACAAGAGCACTTGCAGTAACCAACAATAGAAGCGGAATAAATTACTTACCTTAGTATAGATTGAACCTATAAGTGTAAAATCCAAGTGAATTTAAACTTTTTATAACAAGGGTAAAATGGTAATTTTTTACTACAATACGGGTTGTAAACTTGAATTTTCTAGATCTTGGATGACGAAATGGACCTCACTGTTGGATTCGTCTCGCAAAATCTAGTTACCTTGTCAAATTTTATCGAATTTCGAGATAGTCGAATTTTTTGCATTTTACAATGCGGTTGAGTTTCGGGTGACCCAAAAACGAGATTTTTGATAAAATTTCAAAAGTTAGAAAATTATATAAGGTAAGTTAAAAATAAAAATATTTTAAACATGAACTGAGACGAAATTTAATCGTTTTAGGGCGAAAACAGACCCGGAGAAAAAAGGGTCGTGCGGCGCGTTGTGGGCCAAGAGTTTAGGGACTATAAATCGGGGGCAAAAAATCAGATTTCACCCCCATTTTTCAGCCAGTTCAACGTGAGAAAAGAAGAGAGGGAAAAAGAGAAGTTCTCCACCTTCTCTCTATGATATAGGAAGCTACAGAGCTCAAATTCACACGGCCCAAGAATTAAAGTTGCTCCTCTCGCCGAAGGCTACGCGACCACACCAAAAACGACGAGTTTTACAGAAGATCAAGGTATGAGATTTTTGAAAATTTAGAATTTGGACTAGAAGTGGGTTCTTGAAACTTCCTACGGTCGTTCCTTACGCTTCAAGAGGTAGGGTTCTTTCCTACTTGGGTTTATTTTACAACCTATGGTGTTGTATGTAATGGGTGGGTGGATAGATATATATATCACTTGCCTATGGATGAAAATTGATGAAATGGGTATGAAAAATGTTTAACAAATGAATTCCTAGCTTAGAATTGATTTATGTGGTGATTGCTTGTATAATTTCATGGAATTTTATACCTTGGGGTTATGTGAATTTTGCCCCAAAGTGATTCATGAAAAATTTGTATTATGCTATGTGTTTAAATTCATGATTTAAAAATTAAGTGTGTTATTGACATATATGAAATAACATACTATGGATTATGATTGATTATGAACATGTTGATATAGTAACATTGAGATGAAATATGACTATTATATGCATATGATATTAATGGCCATGAACTATGAAAAATTTGTGTTATAGTTGCTCATATGACATTTATTACATGTGGGCTTAACATTGAAATAAAAACAGTGCATTACATTGCATATGCATGGAGATATCGAATGTATGGGTGTGTGTGCATGGTTGTTTGTTAACACCACGCTCGGTGGATGACAAGTGGGCTTGAGTAAGCTTGGTCGAAGACCTGGTCGAGTCTCACAGATTACTTGATGATTAGAGTTAGGGTTAGCAAGAAGGGCTAGAAGATCCCTCTGGTGCAAGGCCCGGTAATGGGATATGCACTCCCTTGGTACAGTCCATAAAGTGTGTGGGTGTGCGCAAAATCCTTGGTGGAAGTCCGTAAATTCCGTGTGGGTTGGGTGACCCTTGGTGTGAGTCCATAAACATCCACCCCTACAAAGACCCTGAAAAACTTTTAAAACGGTCATTGGATGAGTGAAACCAATGGCACGGGTTGAAAAACCTGGTCATAATACTCATGACATTGCATGGGGGAAAGGAGCCGGTGAGGGCTCGAGTTGAGTTGCATGAGTGGGTATCACCTCATATCATGACACGATACGTTAAATTAATTGGAACAATGGTTGTTTATGAAATGTTGCATGTGAACATTGCATATATACTTAGGTTGGGGAGTACCCTCTGTAGGAAGTATTCTACTAGGCATTGGCTCACCCTATACGGGAAACATTTCAGGTGCGGGACATACTCCGGCGGACGGCTCGCATTCAAGGCCTCTTGGGTGAAGAAAAGCCGGGTTGTAGCTTCTGAATACAAGTTTGGTGTAAAACTTTTGTTAAAGTTCCATTTGACATGTAAATGTATGGAATGGTTCGTAACAGACTTTGTATATAATAGGTTTTATGTGAAAAACTCAATCATGTATGTTTTGGATGAAAATGAGATGGTTTGAAATGGATTGAAAATGTAAAATAGGTGAAACAGGGAAAAATAGGCACAGAGTACCGGTACGCGTACCGGTATGACGAGGTCCAGAAGGCAAACCGTACCGCTACGCTTTGACAGATTTTGAATTTTTTTTATTTTTCTTCCAAGGCCTTGGGCTATGCATCCTTTGGTTCCAATGATACAAATGGACTTAAATGGAGATATATTGGGGTACATTGAACCTCAATAGGATTAAATGATTAATGGAACACGGGAGTTACGTGTGATGTAAGATTCCGGTAACGAGATATTATTAGCGTGATGTCGGATCAAACGGCACTCACAGACATTTCCGCGAGTTGAAGGGTTGTCAACGGGACCCCCGGTTTTAGGGGTGTCACAATAAGCATTGATAAAGGTAATTCAAAAAGTAAAAATCATTTTGAGGCACATTGAAGTACTTAAGAAAACTCCTTTTTGGTTGCTATTCCAAGCAATAATAGACAAAAAATTTGAGCAGTCTATATCCAAGAAGAGTGATGACAATGATGTATCCATAGTGCAAGCATATAACTAGAAAACATCAACTTTTATAATTGGGATGAAACAACTAAAGGTCACTAGCAATGATGTTGCACTGGAATAGAAACTAGTGACATAGAGATTGATATGTGAAAAAACAAAGAAGAGATAGTATGAATTTGTGAGAAGAAGGTTCCTAAATGAAGATAAATTAAAAAGTTCAATTTTAAAGGAAATACTGAAAGAAGTATCGAAAGAAAAAACAAAACATGATGTTGAAGACTTTACAAGAATTCTCTGTCTGTATGGTCAAGTACTTGATTTGGGATATGTGCAACATGTGGATGATTTTTACAAAAATGAAAACATATACTTGGTCCAATGCAGTTGCTCACACAATGATGAACTCAGTGGAACTAAAATACCAAAATCCAGTGCGAGCCATTGGTTGTGTTCTACCACTTCTAGTAAGTGTTCTAAAAAATATTGTCGCACATATTGTTCATTGTAAAATATAGTCTATCCTTATCACCAAAAGAATTAAATATGAAATGGTCACTGCTATCAAACTTCATAAAATGTCTATTATTTGTACAATATTGTTTGTGTGAACTCATGAAAATAATAAATTCAAGCAATCCTAGCGCATTTCCCAGGTTCATGAAATGAAACATTGGAAAGTTGAATGTTGCAATAAATGACAATGCACTCAACTAGTTAACTTCTTGAGAGGTAAACAAATTATAATTTAGGTCAAACATAAAGTTCTCTATAATCTTGTTCTTACATTTTTTACTATACAACTGTCATACATGTGAAAGTGATAAAGTTGGAAAGAACAAGAAAAGAAAATGAATTTTACTCAAGTGGAGGAAAGAAGAGGACAAATAATAAATGAAAAGAAGTTCAAGAGGAAGAAACGATACAAGAAGAATTGAAATAGACAGAGCAACAATAGATCGAGGCAGAGAACAAAGAATAGGAAAGCAAAGGAGACACAAAGAATGTAAAGGGAAAAAACCAGTTCTAGTAGAAATCATTGAGAAAGAACATCAAGACAAACAATTTGAAGAAACTAAAATGCATGAAGTCGAAGATATAGAAGATGAAGAATCTAAAGAAAAAGAAATACATGAAGTCTAAGATACTGAAGATGAAAAAATGGAAGTTAAAGAGAAATGGAAGATAGAAGATGAAAAAGAGACAGAGGCAGAAGATAGTGAACAAAGGGACAACATAAAGCGTAAAGGGAAAAAACCATTTGCGATAGAAGTACTAATGTAGAAAAACAAGACGAAGAAGCTGAAGATACTGAAGATGAGTGGAGGAACCATGGTTAACAAGGTTATAACAGTGAATAAGCCAATGAAGAAGCACAAAACACAAGCCAACAATATGTTCATCACAAAAAAAAAATGTGCAAGTAGTGAACAAAAACAATGGGAAAATCACAACAAATGGATGAAGTCACAACCCTGATATTGGAAAGAGACACGTCATTAGAATTAAATAGGTATCTAAAGAATGAATATGATAAATAAAGGAACAAATTGAATAACTAAAGGCTGACATTCTGAAAAAAAGAAGACAACAAACAACAAAAGACTGAAATACTTAACTAAAATTGGAAAAGGATGAAGCACTGAAGATGAATGAACAATTGAAGGAGGAATTTGAAAAAGTAATGGAAGAGATGGTCTTCTTGAGGGTTGAAAATGAAACATTAAAAAATTAAATTCTCAAATGGAACATTAAAAATTAGATTGAGAAGATAAAAGGAGAAAAGGAACAACAAGAAGTGAATAAACAACAGGAAGAAAGTGATCTGTAATAAATGCAGAAGAAAATGAATAACTCAACACTGAAATACTAATATTGAAAGTGAAAAAGGAGGAAGCATTGAAGATGAATGAAAATGTGAAGAAAGTAATAGAAGAAATGAGCTTGATAAGGAATAAAAATGAGAAATTAAAAAATGAGATTTTGAAGATAAAAGAAGGCAAGGAATAGCACCAACAAAGCAGTCAATCAACTGAACTGAAAAAAGCATTGGCAAGTCTGAAAATCTCAATTGAAGATAAGCAAATCAAACTGTTGGAAGACATAGTCAAAAGAATGAATGATAACAAAAAATCGCATGACGTAATCTTGGATGAATTTGGAAACAATTTCAAATGACTTTTGGACAAGAATAAATCTCTCTAAGATCAATTGGATGACATGGTTACAAGATCCGTGACACAACAATTTTCAAAAGAGAAGAAAAAGGATATTGCTAGTACATCGACAATTGAACATAGTTCTATGGTGAAAGAGATAAAGAATAAGCAAAGAAAAAGAAAAAAAAAAAATCCAAACTTCCAATTCTCAACAAATAAGAAGCATCCAAGGCCAAAGATTGTAAAAGATCCACCATTGCCAGGAAAAAAAACAAAGAAAATATAAAATGGTGAAGGAAAATAAAAAGAATTCTAAAATCATGGATATAGATGACATTCGGGATAATAATAGAGATTTGGACAAGACAAAAAAAGACCTTGAACTCAGTTTAAGATTACTAGTTTGCAGACTTCTCAAACATGCTAATTATGAAAAACTTGAGCTAATAAAGTCAATGGAAGGAGAATCGTAAGTCAAAATCAAAACTTATGGTTCATTAATAATTCTATAACTGATATGCACTAATACTTGCACATCAACTCATGCAAGGAAAAAGTCTGGAATATCTCTAAAACAAGAATATACATTGCAATGAAAGAAATACTCCCCCTAGAAAATGAGTTGGACATCGCCAACAATGACAAAACAAACACAATGATGATGATCGAATTTGGGTCTATTGCTTAGCGAGGGATAAGACCGCTAAGGAGTGCCAGTAACTGAAAGAGGACATTAGCTCTTGGGATAAGACCCTCGTCGCTCAAGCTCTACAAATCATCCAACTCATCCAAGAGAGTGAGAAGAGAATGTCTGAAGCTGAACTTATGTTATCCATTGTTGACTTAAGTTATCCATTGCTGAAGCTAAGCTCATCAAGGACAAGAAAAATTGTGCCAAATTGACTGAGCAAGTGGGGGAGTTAACATCTGAGGCTGAGGTGAGATTGAAGACAGAGGAAGAAATCATCCGGGAGTGTGAAGACGATGTGATGGCTACCTTCGAGGATCTTCAGTTAAAGACCTTCAAAAAAAGATAGGACGCCACCCTCACAGCCACTGGGGGTGTAATGGATTCTCTATACCAACAACATATATACTTCTTCCCCTACAGTGGTAGAGGTGAATGAGTCTTTAGAAGTCCCACCTGCTCTTCCCCGTGCCAATCTTTCTACTCCAATGGCTTCATCGGCACTCGAAGCTCTCCCAGCCCCTGAGACTAACAATCCTTCAATTGACATTGACATTGACATTTTCCTTGAAGATGACACAGCAGCTTGACGACATCCCTCCTTGTCTCGACCATGGTGGAGCTTTGTTTTATTTTTATTTCCTTTGTTAGCGGTCTTTAGTCCCCTTCTTTTGTTTCTACCTAGGGGATGCAAAGTCCTCTTAACGAAATATACTTTTTCAACCATCTTTTTCTTTTCGCATTCATGTTCTTTCATTGGGTGTCTACTTCCCCTATGGGGATGACCTTTGTTGATTAATTGGTCATTGGGGATTTGAGCATTTCCATCTAAATCTTTCAACGTGTAAGATCCAGATCCATTGACTGCTATAATCTGATAGGGACCTTCCCAATTAGGCCCAAACTTCCATCGGCCGAATCTCGAGTGTTCTTGATGACCTTTCCTCGTACCAAGTTAGCCACTTGAAAGTCTCGGGGGTGGACCCCTTTTTTGTGATGTCTGGCAATTTCTTCCTGATATCTTTCAAAATTGTATAGTCACAATCTCGCTCTTTTCCTCAGCTAGGTCAAGATCTCTGCGTTGTTCATTCCCGTGTCGAAGGCTTCGAAGGGTCCGCTATTGAACTGGGTCCTGTCATTAGAGATTATAGCTCGGGGTACATTGAACCATGTTACTATATTTTTTCACATGAATTTCTTGATGAAAATGTCCTGAATGTGGGTGAGGGGTTCAACTACCACTCATTTTGGGAAGGAATCCATGGCTATGGGGAGAAATCTTTTGTTAGTTGGCATTCTGGGTAAGGGAGTGACTATGTCTAGGCCCCACTGGGAGAATGGATAAGGACTTGTCAATGTTTTCAAGTCCCCAACTAGTTTCTGATGATAGACATGTCTTTGAAACTTATTGCACTTCTGAACATACTCATGTGTGCCCCTTTGCATGTGTGGCTGCCAATATCCTTGTGACTTAGCTCGACAGGCCATTAACCTAATGCCTGTGTGCACCCCACATAAACCTTTGTGAATTTTAAACAATCAAGGATGAATCTTGTCTTCAAGTACGCAGAGCAAGTAAGGTCTTGAGAATGACCTTCGATAAAGTTTCTAATTGGAGATACCCAGAACTTTGGCACCTTAAGCTAGACCTTATGGGTTTCTAGTTTGCAAATTGGAGGTTCCTCTGTCTATAGGTATCGGAGGAAAGGATCCATCTAGCTGGGAGCAACTTCTTCTATACCAACCGAAAGGTTCTCAACCTCAGCCAATATGCTCGGGGTTAGGAGATGCTCCACAATTATCCTCCTTGTAACCTCAGTTCTGAGAGTTGATGCGAGGCATGCAAGGGACTCGGCATGGCAGTTGAATAAGGCTCCAACGCTGAGGGGTATTGCTTGCCCCATGTGGAGAAATCAAGGCTATGTCAAAGGGAGCCATGCGAACATATCTATATTCTACCGTAGGAAGCTATCATCTCCTTCTTCTCTGTCGGTGGCATCAAGGAACTGATAATTGTCTCCATGATCCTATACTTTCCGGGGGCAGACTTTCATACCACTTCATAACTATCCCTGAGGCTCATTGAGAACACCTAACACAACAACTTTGGGTTCGTGTTGTAGAATGACATAAGCCTTAGGGTTGGATCGGACGGGTTCATCATCGACATCAACTCCTTGTTGAAGGGTGGCCTTCTCGAACTTCTTCGAGTTTAAGTGAGATCTTAAGTCATCACACTCCTTTTAGCATTTGGGGGACATAACGTTGCATCTTATGCCGACGTTTCTTATAGAGATGGTAAAACCTTCTTCAGACCCATCCTTCTCTCTTTGTGAGAGAAGTCGACGATGATCATCATCTACTAGATGTTTGGTCCTCTTTCTCGGGGCACCAATTTCCCAGGCCCGTGGGCAAGCTAATTTGGGGTTTTTAGAATTTCCCACCTTCTGAGAAAGGTGATGCCAAAGATCATTCCATCTTAGTCTATCTCGTAGGACCTAGTCCTGGAGTGACGGAGGGTCCTTGACCTCTGGAACATCAAAATTGGTATAACTTGTATAACACGTTGACATTGTCCTCTTCGATCTGTTTGAACCAACCTTCCAGTTGTTCCACTATGAGGTCCACCAACTCATGGCTGAGGGGTCCATTCTTACATCTCATGAGGCTGGGTATAGTGTGCTGCGATTGTCGTCTTGAGTGGCTATTCCTATCTGGCGATTTGGTCTTGGTTGGAGTAGCCAATATGGTGCACTAACTTCGACACCGATACATCTGGGAAGGGATTGGTCTTTTTTCTAGTGACATGAATTTTCATCCACATAGTCTCTTGATCGAGTGTTAACTATCATGCTGGCTACAAGGAAGTTATTTGTTTTCCCATAGACAGCGCCAAATCGTGCGGGTGATTTCTTGCACAATATTGAGATAGCGACACTTTGACTAATACTCGAAGGTTACGCTCAATCTTAGGGACGACGAAAACTTGAGGATCACAAAGAAGGGTTAGAAGGGAGGCTAGAGGTGTTTTTGCGATTCCCCTCTGATGCTTAAGTTAATCTTTGAGGAGTGAATAAAACAAAATGTTCAATGCAAGGTTATGAGAACGTATTTTCTGTTTTTGCTTAAGAGTCCTATTTATACTTTCTTGGTGGATAATGTGCTTATCAAGGACATTCGTACTATCCTCTTTGGCGGGAGGGCTCCTAATTGGCTCACAGTGGATGTCTTTTTGATCTTGTCAGACGGTTAGGCATCGAGCAAGGCGCCCCTTTGACCTTAATACTTGATCCTTTGCATGCATGTCAATCCGACATGCATTAATGACATTAACCCCTTGGCATCTGGATACTTGCCGATCATTAATACTCGTGCCAAGCATTTACTACGAGATTTGACATCAAGCAACACGCTCTGCGAGGAGTAAATGTCCGACATCACATAGTGCGTCGAGGGATTAATGTCAGCCCTGTCCTTGGCCCTCGAGCATTAAATGTCTATGAATCGTTTGTCGTACGCTCATGAAAAGTATTAATTGAATTATTAAAGACCTCTCTCATGATTGGTCCCCCCTGATCTTATTGGATCTGACAACATGGGATAGTGGGCCCAAGCCATTTGATAATCAAACACAGTTCCTTGTAAGACATTCTTACGTTTATTCCTCGGTGGACGTTTCCAATGAAAAGCTAGCTGTCTTCCAATATGTTGACTGACGTGGTCGGCATGTAAAATTAATTGTTTCTCAGTCCCATCGGCCTATTCTCCATTGATATTTCAACCCTCTTGGTCACAACCTTCGATATGCACCGAAAAGATTTCTTGTCGGCGTTCATGGTAACGCCGACGAAACCCTAGTGCATTTCTTGTGACAATGTTGAGGTTAGTGTCGCTCGACATGAAATTTCCAAAACCCTTCATAGACACTGAGGAGATCTTAGTGCTCATCTCTCGTAACGAAGCTTCGAGGTCAAACATATCATGTCACACGAATCATTACTTCTACCATTATTAACAGAATACATCACGTGTCTACTTTTGGTTGGTTTGACAAACCTCGTCGAGCGAGGTAATATTGTAATTGTAATACAAAAAAAAAGGAGAGATTAACTTGGACTAGACGACAAAAAAGATTAGGTGATTGGACTTAATGACTTAAAAAGTCCATGCCTAAACTTATTGATAAAAAAGGGTACAAAAATTACAATTTTTAATAATTTTCACTTAATTCAAAAGTCGGCTATCGCTTTTTCTAATTTTTTTCACCAAAGTTTGGGAGAAGATAAACATTAGAGCATGTGTGTTGCTATGCCATTACTTTCCCTTGTCCTAGATATGCATTTTCCACCGCAAATTTCCAACGTAAATTTCCACAACAGTGATTTTCAGGTAATTTCTTAGTAGTTCAGCGGATGTCATGCACCCATATTATACCACATTTTCTTTTCTTCAAGAAATAATAAACAAAGACGTCAGGACTTCGGTTCCGTAACCCTTTACGGCCTCTACCTACTCCGTTCTGACCTTCCCACATCGTTCCTCGGATGACTCTCGGTTTGATACTTTTTTCATCCCAGCAGTAGCAAACGCATCTGCAGAATAACTTCTTTTCGCTCTGGTTTCACTACTCAGGTTCAATTCTCTTTTTCTCTCCAACTTTATCTGAGATTCGTTGGTTGACTTTTACTCTTTCCTCTCCAGTTGATTGTTTGATTTCAAGAAGTTGCTAATTTGTTTATTACTTCATTTTATTGATTTTTAGGAATATCAGTTGAATATTCATGGTAAGTGTAGAGATGGGTTCGATTAAATTTGGACCCTTGGTTTTTTTTTTCCCCACTTTGTGAGTTATTGAGGAAAACAGTGTTTGATGTGAATTTGTAGGGTTTGATGTGGTAATGATCCAATTGGAATTAGTGGTCCATCAAACTTCTTTTGTGAAAAAATAATGGTGCTTCGGATTGGATTCTGAACCCAAATGAAAGAAAAGTTGTAGTAAAACTAATTGGTGGTTGTAGAGTAGAGAAATTGGACTGCTCGTGCAAGAAACAGTTGTTATAAGCCGACTTGGAAGTTTCCTTCAATTTTGTTTGCTGAGAAAATCAAGAGGAACAGTGGATACAATTCTTTGTCTCCAATATCTTGTATTCTTTACACACATGCACATCTGCATATGCTGATGTATATAAACTGACTTGCATTCTGCCTTGATGTTGTCTTGGAATTGGTTGACATTTATGGTTGTTACTTTTGAAATCTTCCTTTTTTTGGTTTGCTTTTAAATGATATGGTCTCAATGATCAAGTTGTTGCTAGTTGTTTAGGTTGGTAAGTAAGATTTCTGCTTATGTAGTAGCTCAAAAGCCTTGGGAATGGGTCTGTTCTTTATCTTCACCTATTATCAACGTTTTTTTTACGGCAATTGAAGCATTAGCTATTGTATGTTTACTAAAATCATAAGCTGCCACTTGTAACGAATATGGTTTTTTATTGCTTGATTTTGTGGGAGTGGGAATGATATTCATTTTGGCCATAATCAGCTATTTGTTTGACAATTAATCAAACGTATCTTGTATCTTTTCTTGATTGATATGACCTGGGAAATATCTCTGAAGAGTAGCACCTTATGGTTGCAGTTTCTTTTACTTAAATCTGTTTCTGGGACTTCCTTGTTAAGCTTACACGTTTTGCTTTGATAAAGCATTAGGCCTGCCAGCTACCTGAATGATTATTTGCTCCTAAATGGTTAAAAATTGTAAAGAGAAGTTGGTTTTCTAGCATGCTTTCTTTCTTCTTGATCCTTGTTATGGTTCTTCTTTACCGTGTGCAGATGAGTATAGTAGAGCTCTAGCCAGATCAACTGTCTATTAAGTGATTTCTCACTGATCATCATAGTAAAGCTGGTTTGTGCGTCATAGTTTTGTACAGTGTTTGTTATCATATATTTTTGACCCACAAAGCAGAAGGTGCATTCTGCATGCTTATGGATTGGTAGGATAAATATTAACATTTTTGTGGAAAAGGCTTCATCTCACCCTTCTCATATGGAGGAGTTTCAAAACTGGGATGATGTAACTTGCCCCATATGCTTGGACTTCCCTCACAACGGTGTTCTCCTCCAATGTTCGTCTTTTGAGAAAGGATGCCGGGCTTTTGTGTGCGACACAGATCATTTGCACTCAAACTGTTTGGACCGTTTCAAAACTGCATATGGGATGTTATCTGAGTCACAATCACCTTCAACATCTGAGGCTAGTTCTGCTGGAGACAACAACTTAATGAATTCAGAAGCTAATGGCAAGCCCACATGTCCCTTATGTAGAGGAGAAGTCACTGGATGGGTCATTGTTGATAAGGCCCGTGGACATTTGGATGAGAAGAAACGATGTTGTGAAGAGTTACAATGTTCTTTTATGGGCACCTACTTGGAACTTCAGAAACATGCTCAACTAGAGCACCCTCATGCACGTCCTTCAAAAATTGATCCTGCACGGCAGCTTGATTGGGAGAATTTCCAGCAATCCTCTGAGATCATAGATGTACTGAGTACTATCCATTCAGAAGTCCCACGTGGGGTGGTTTTGGGAGATTATGTAATTGAATATGGGGACAATGACTCTGGAGATGATTTTGAGGACTTCCCTGGGGATGAAGGCAACTGGTGGACATCATGCATCTTGTATCAGGTGTTCGATAACTTTAGGACTTCTAGAAACAGAAGAAGGTCAAGAGCCAATGATTCTAGAAGAGGGACTCGCCGTTTGAGTTATGATACCTCCAATTCTGATGAGGGCTCTGTGGCCTCTGTAGAATCTGCAGAGTATAGACTAGACGAGATTGATGATGAATTTGTGAATAGAAGTGGTCTATCGAGGGGTAGAGCTGGTCATCGCAGGTCAGTGGATCTTTGTGTGCATGTGCTATATGGAACTAAAATTTTCAGGAGGTTCTTTAGATGAAATGTGGTCACTGATTCTGTTAAATTTGTTAGTTGTCCCTGGATAAGGTTTCCACATGCTGATGTTTTATTTTGTATTCATTTTCATGCTTTCATATAAGTCAGACTAGGTATGACCTGACAAACACATGGGACCTATTGAACCTCTTGCCACATGGTTGCTGTTATCATTTATATCAAGTTTTGTTTGATTATTACTTTGCTTACTGATTGCTGAACTCAGTTTTGAGTTGATGAATAAAGTACAAACAAGTGTGTCATGAGTTCTTTGGACTCTTGGGTTTTGTGTTGTGTTATTCTTATTGTTTCTTATTTTTCATGTAAACTCTTGTTTCCTTGGGGAACTTCATCTTGAACGTTTGTGGAGTCAGTTTTGGCTAGCGTTAATATATTTTGTCTTTAAGCTTTTTTTACAGATCCCTGTTAATGTTGCAGAAAGTAAGAGAGGACGATGAGTAGTTTTTATGGGAGTGTAGAGGTGAAAGAAACAGGGACCATTTGATTTGTTGGGATATGGTTTCTAGATCTAGAAGTAGTGGGGGGTTGGCTGTGGGGAATTTGGTCAAAGAAAATGTTACGTTGGTTGGAAAGTGGTTGTGGAGGTTTTCGTTGAAGTTAGATTCTTTGTGGCATTCTCTTATTGCAGAGTAAATATGGTCTTCGGTCGAATTGTTGGGATTCCAATATGGTGATTAAGGGTTTTTCGGAAATATTTGGAGATGTATATCTTAAGGCCTGAATTGTTTCTCTAGGTGTTTTAAAATGGGTGTTTGGGAACAGGGATGGTATTTGTTTTTGGTAAGATAATTTTAAGAAGTGAGTTTCCTTTTTAATTTTTGTTTTCGTAGGCATCATTATTTATCTCAGGCTTATAATGGTTCTCTTTCTCTCATGTTTGGTTCTTTTTAGAGGTGTAACTTGGGCAGATTGAGAGCTCAATCTGAGTTGTAAAACACTGAGCAAACTGGAACTTGAATTCAACCTGAATATGATCTATGCTTAAATATTATGACGGTTGAAATCGAGTTACACAGATCAAACTGAAATTCAGATTCAATTGGGTTGAAATTGAGGTTGATTCGTGGGTCACACAACTTGAACCAAAGGCTATAATTCAGCTTTAACTTAAGTTGAACATGAGCTAATACGGATTGGGAGCGGTGGGATTCCGAGAACCAAAACCGAGTGTTGTTCGAATATAAGTCGGTTGGGATTTTGTTGTCAAAGCCTCCTCCTAGTATTTGAAATCTCGATCCAGTTATTGAGGATTTTGGATGGGCTCAAGTTGGATTCGGGTCAACGTGCTCAAGCCGCACGCCGACTCCTTATTCCTCACAGAATGGGTAGACAGAACTTTAGCTTTCAAGAAACAGAAATGATAGAGAAATTGGTTAGCACTATGGTTGTCTTTGCTTGATTCTGGGTCTTTGTATTTGCTGTCTTTTAACAGAAGATAGTGGATTCTTGATTCTTCGGGGGCTTTTTCTACTGAAGCGTTATTTCAGTCTTTGGTTGACAATCCTTCTTCTCTATTTCTGATTTCTCTCTGATGATTTGTAGGGCCAAAATGCAGTGCATTTTTTGCATAGGTAGTTACTCATGGGAAGATTAATAGATGTAATTTGATACAAAGAAGTAGACCTAATGTTTGTCTTTTTCACCATTGGTGTCGTGTAGGAGTTGTATGAGAGTGTTGAGCACTGTGTTCTTCACAATCCATTGCATTAGGATTCTGGCATAAAATATTCAGGGATGTGGGATTGGTTTCGGTTATTTCGCATTGTGTTTCGTTATTTGTGGTGGACTATGGAGGTTTTTGGTTGATTAAGAAGGCTTCAATCCTTTGGAATTGTGTTGTTTTAGCTACTCCTTGAGTTGTTTGGAGGGAAAGGATGGGTAGAATTTTTTTGTGACAAAGATGAGTTAGGGGAGTTACTTTGGGAAGGAGTTAGGTTCTTGGCTTCTCTTTGGGCATCGGCTGCCAAAGATTTCGATAATTTCCTATGCATTAATGAAATTCTGATTCTCATAAATAAAATTAGAGTTTGATTAGCACGTAAACTGCTAGTGTGTTTTATATCATATCATCCTGACTTGTGCATTTGTTTGAAGAAAAGGCTTTGATTACATTTGCCATTCAGTTTTGAGGCCTTAATATCAAATTATCCTGACAAGTGACAACTTGTGCATTTGTTTAAACAAAAGGCTTTGATTACATTTGAGGTCTTATTTCATGTAGATGATCTCTATGGTTTCTGATTATCTCTAGTGTTCGTTTTTTTTTTTACTCTGCTCTAACTTAATTTATAGGTACCCTTAATTCAACTATTATTAAAAATTTGACTTGTTTTTGAGTGAGGCCTATGTGCACTGCCATGCTCAGACTAAATCTAGTTATGTTCTTTCCGATGTGGCAAAAAAAAAAACTAGTTATGTCCTCTAAAATGTACTTCGGTTGCAAATATTTGAAGTATTTTGAGGATTATTGTTTGTTTCTTCTAGTGTTGGAGAGAAGTTGTTTGGTTATCCATGTCCAAATAGAGTCTGCTGCATTGGATCTAACAATGAGTTCAGTTTTTTTTTTGTTCTGCTTTTTTACCCACCCACCAACTTGCTAACCCCCAACCCCACATGTGCGTGCTTAAAGATGATAAATTGTGCTTTTTGTGTTAGTGTTCAACATGGGTTAAGTTTTCTGATTAGGCAGTTCTTTTGCAAATTTACTTGGTAGGGGCACTGAATGTTCTGTGTGTGTCTGCTTATTGCTTATTCGTGTATAGTAATACAAGGTGATGTACAGAAATGACTTCATGTACACTGGAGGGAAAGTATGACTCGTTTCTTTTACTTTACTTATTTATTTTCATATGTTTGCTCTGACGTTTACATTTTGCTTATATCTTGCGGACACTGTATATGTCACAGTTACCGAAGACGCCGTTCTCGCTTCTATGACAATTAGGTATGCACTATCCGTGGATTCCCCTGCATTCTCCTTCGTGCCAGTTTTATTTTATCTTAAGATTGCTTCGTTGATGATCTTAGTTAGATATCTGCATATTGCAATAATATTTCAAGATGCCATGTCACCCCTTTTTTTGCATTGAATTTCAATCACTTTCTCTCGTGCTAAAATTACGAATGGGATTTTTACTTCAGGATGGTTTGGTGCAGCTGTGGAATGAAGAAAAACTTGCAGATGTTGATCCATTTGAAGTGGAAATCATTAAAGCTTTATGGGGTTCATGTCAGTATTCAGAAAATATAAAAGCTTCTCCTAGATATACATATGTGATTACATGTTCTTGGTGAAGATAATTTTCCAAAATTATATTGACAATTCGATCGGAATGTCGATTCCGCTTCTGTTATTAAGACTGGCATCCAGTTTTGGTTCTTTAGTGATTTTCCTTGTAGTTCAAATTAGATAAGAAGATTTGTGTTTTTTTTTTTGGAAAAATTCCTGCTTAGCTCTCTCTCTCTCTGTGTATATTCATATCTATAATATAGACAGACACACACACACACATGGGACTATCATTTTCTATGAGGGGCTCCTTGTATTAGGAGAATATTCCCCGTGTATGGGGGGCTCCTTGTATTAAGAGAATATTCCCAGTGGTTACTTCTTTTTTCCCTAATAAAAGCCTACAAGAGTATCATTCTGTAATGTACTCAAAACATATTTCGTGACAAGTAGGGCCGAGCGGGTCAGTAGCAGTTGCCAATGTTATTTTTTTGATTGTTTGCGGTGAATTGGTGATGTTGCCTAGAGTTGGCCATTTGTATAACTCTAGTATTAAAATATAAAATATGCTCAAAAGGGAGGGGAAAAAAAGGAGAAAAGTATGTATGCTGATATCTAAGAAGGGTGGATGACCATCATTCATTTTCAAAAGTTGGTTTAAGTTTTAGGGATCATTTACAAACTTTTTTGGTTTAAATTATAGCTTTTATGGGGTCATTTTAAACTTTTGAGATTAATTGTGATTGATCCTAAATTTTTTAGGGTAAATGGCTCATAAAAGTTATAACTTGAACTACAAAAGTTGTAAAATGAAAAGTTGTAATTTTTTTTGGTTGTAAACAAATCAAAAACTTGTATTTTAACCCACAAAACTTACCACTCGATGGAGGTTTAGTGATAAGTCATATCCGTTTATGGTTTTTCCTAACTCTTATGTAGTTATCAAATAAGATTCGATTCATAGGAATATCACGGTTTGTTGCTTGATTTTGGTGATGCTATGTGACAGAAAACTCTTTCGGGTTAGTAGTTATGACTCAAATCAGACATTCCACAGTGAGGGACCCTCATAGTCACGCCCAGGGATATTGCTTCATATTGGTCACTCTTCTCCCATTTTCATGACCAAAAAAAAAAACCCACAAAACTTGATAGTACAATATCGATTTTTTTTCCCCGGAGTCTTCTTCTAACTAGGTCTATAAAAAGGACTCTGATTATAAATGAAGTATGAAGACCGAAAAGAAAAAAAAGATAAATGTATGATTCTGAAGGGCAACATATTGCGATATTAAGTTTATGAAAAACTTGTTTTTTTATATATTTTTAGTGTACTATTAACTTAATATTTTATCAATATTTTATCAATTTTATAAGACGTTATTAATACGAATCTCTAATTATCGGAAAAAAAGACTCTTTTCTTTGAAGTTGAAGAATGGTAAATTTTGTATATTATATATTGTCCTTGACCCAAAGAGTGATGGTGGAATATTTAAGTACTCTGTTTTGGCATTGATTTCAAATACTTGAGCTTCTCTGGATAGGGTAGAAGATAACAGTATCTATTAAGGGTAGATATAACTCAGCGGTAAATTTCTTAGCGGTATCTCAAGTAATGGACACACTAGCGATTTAATATTTCATCGTGGAAGTTGTAAACAAAGTGAAAAAGTGGATATTAGGCATTTTCTCAAAGGGTAAATTACACTTTACCCATCAAATTATTATCCTTACTTCATTTTATACTCTTAACTATAAAATTTCTCACATTATATCCTAAAATATTAATTTTATTTCATATAATTCCAATTGATAAAAATGTCAATTTTTTGATGGTAAATGTTTATGTGAGTAGTTTGTACTGTCATAAGCAATTGTCTATTACACATGTGCAGGTCAAAAATCAAGAAAAATATCTATCCATAACTTGTTCTTTCTAAATTTCAAATTTTCTTTTTTTGACCGAGCTTCTTTTTCTTCTCAGTAACTATTTGGTTGTAAAAGAGGTAAAATAAAGTGGTACTAGATATTTGATGGGAAGCTCTTTAGGGTTTCCTTCTCTCATTTTAAAGATTTTCAGGTTTGTCATTATCTATTAGAATGTTATGAAATAAAATTGATACTTTAGGGTATAATGTGAAAAATTTTATAATTAAGAGTATAAAATAACACAATGGTAACAGTTGAGAGGAGTAAAGTGTAATTTACTCTTTCTCAAAATAGAAAGAAGCAAGCAAGGTGATTTTACATCATCTTTTTACGAGAACACACGGGCAATGCAAGAAAAGTCGGAAATACCGGCTGTTAAAAGCAACCGGACAAAGTCTTGGAAATGCAGACAAATGCATATCTCGACGTTCGGAGCAACCACGGAGCCAGAAATTTCTTTCGGGGAAGGGGGCCTAAATTTAATATAACAAACTCAAACCGACAATATAAACTATGTTATCTAATATATAATCAGAATTGGATAATAATTATTGTAACAAATCTACTACTGAGTATACTGTTACATGTAAAATAATTATATAAACAGATATGTATAAACATAATAGAAATGATGCACGTACGAGAATGCATAGCAATAATAATAACAACAGAATAAGATAATAATTCGAGTCCTATGAACCGCAATTTTTTTAAAACATATTTGTTCTCACTCGGTACTTGTAACGCCCCAAAAACCCCCGTGACTGACATTACATTCTAAAAACCATTTACCGTATGAGAGCATTAAGTAAAATTCATCACGACGAAAGTTTCATTCATCAACCATTCATATTTTAACAAAATTTGGGCAGAGTCTCCTTTGTACGGGGAACTCTACCCAAAACACAACCTGTACAATTATATTACAATTGACCACACCGGGTCCACATATGCATAACTATTGACCACACCGGGTCCATTTTTCCATCATAAAATAAACTTGCATTCATCATATGTCATATCCACACTATCATCCCAAATTAATAGGTCTAATCTTGGCATTTACATCTCCAAAATGTAATAATATAACGCAGCGGAAATAACAGAAATGAATTAGAGTTCAAAAGGATATTCTAAGCATAATCTAGTCTAGAACAAAATAAAAGTGTCGCTCTAAGCGTCCACCTCGGGATCTACATCCCCGTCAAGCGGAGTCTTCCAATGGGTGGGCTCCTCGGCTCCTAACTCCTCCTCAAGTGTGAAATCTGAAAAATTTTTATTTGTAGGGGGTGAGCACGAAGCTCTGTAGCAAAATCCTCTCAACTCAAACAAGGTTTGAAACACATAGCAAACGGTCGGTCTCATTTCACAACTAACATATATATAGGTTTGGAATGAAAACAGTGACATTTTAAAAGAGATCTCAAGTTTAAACAATAGCAATAATCAGTTAAAAGAATAAAGTGAGTTTAGCATCGATAAACAAAATTCTAATTTAAGCTATTTAAGAAGGGCTTCTCCCTAAGCATTGTCCCATACCAATGCATCGGCAAGAACGACCCAACTCCCGATTCCATGTATTTTTGGTTCATCCCCGTACCATGTATGTTGATTGCTTCTCGTGAATCTACCTAACAATCATGCCTAGTCCACCAATTCCAACCAACAATCACAAATCTCTTTAGGAAGGGCGTGTACCGTCTCCTACGGCATTGACGAAATCCTCCCAAGGTGTCTAGTATACTAACCCTTTTCCTCGGTGTATATGTGAACAATAGTGATCGCGAGCACAACAACAATCCACTACGAGCATTAGGCAACCATCTCACCCCCCATTGGGATAGACTAACCTCTAACACTCTACGGCATCTCTCGAAGGTAATGCAAGTCCATCACAACAACCATACAATGAAGAAATCAAGAATATTCACAATTCACAACAATTTCCCAAATATGGTAAAATCCCCAATTTTGTTTTCACATTTGTCATATAATCGAATAATCCAAGAAAATATGCAAGAGATCGTAATCTATATCATTTTGTTATACAATATTTAACACTAAAGTTTTAAAATCAAAGACAAAGAAGAAATTAGGAGAAAATCCCCTTTTCTTGAAAACTAGGGCTTTGAAGATAAAAAAAAAAAATCAATAGAGCTTTGGTGGTTACCCACCCTTCATATTGTTCAAAACATGACATTTATTACAAATAGAACAAGAATCATGTATTTTATATTATATATATGAGAAGGAGAGTGAAAAAACATATATTTATATACATATATATATCTATAGATATATATCTAGCCTCAATGTGAGAGATTGAGAGAAAATCCCCTACCTTAAATCAAGATTCCAAGTTAAGACCCAAGCTTCAAGACCTTCTTGCTCTCCTTTATTTTCCTCTTAATCTTCTCCTCCTAGGGTTTCAAAAGATTTGGGTGAGAGGGTAGCAAAAATGGAAGAAAATGGGAGGAGAATGTATTTTTGAAGAATTTGAAGTTTTGATTTCTACAAGGTATAAATCCCTCTTGATTGGTATTTCTATCTTCCTCTAAAATGCTTCCTAGGGTTTGGAGGGGTGAAATGAATGCTAAAGGAACGACATTAGGTTTTTATAGGGTAAGAAAATCGAGCAAAACCCGATATTTTTCTGTTCAAAAAAATCGGGTTTCCTTCGTACTGTTTACAGATTTTTGGTGCGACTTCCAGGTCAGTTTTGACTCATTTAGAGGTCGAATTGGAAATTTTTCATGAAATACACTTTTGTAGCCCTGGATGTCTACTATTTCCTGTAAAAATTTCAGATCAATTGGACATCAAAATATAAAGTTATGATCAAAATACTAAGCAGTGTCCATCACCCCTTTTTACCCAATTTCACTCCAATTTGGTTTTACTTCTAAAATACTTCCTAACTTCTAATACATCCCATATTACCTCTCCCAATGTTTTCCGACCTCCCGAATTCAATGGTAATGTTATTTTGATAAAAAAAAATTAATATATTTATTTAGTTACCCTTATCAATCTTAAACACATCCAAAAAAAAAAAAAATTAAGTTTGACCCAAAAGTCAATCCGTTCGAAACTCAAACTTCATGATTAATATTTCAAAAATGATTCTAAGTTTTTATCCTAATTTTATTCATATTTGAAAAACTCTTAAGATATTAGTATTCTTATTTAATTTTTAGTACAGAGTCTTATAGTACTCAAGGTTGATAGCAATTGACTCCCAAAATAGAATGAATTTTGTCTTTAAAAAAGCAACACTTCAATCCCCAAAAACTAACGAACACAATC